ACAGGTTAAACTTTATGAAAGCATTGAGCGACTGCAAGCATAGACTGACAGTAAAAAAAGGGAGATCTTGTGCGGAGCAATGATATCCAAATTATGTAAACTTAAAATGCACACGTGCAAATCACTTAATTAATACAGTGTTAAATGTTTTACGATAAATACAGTGGGAGTGATAGATCGAAAGAATATAAGAGTTCAAACCCAAAAGTTTCTCAACTGACAATAAATGTTTTATACGATGTTGTAGTTTTCTTCTTGCAAATCTACACAATGGGCTATCTTCCCTCTGTCTACTTCAGGGGAATAGAACCCTGAACCTTACAGCTATCACAGGGAGTGACAGATCAAAAGAATATAAGAGTTCAAACCCAAAAGTTTCTCAACTGACAATAAATGTTTTATACGATGTTGTAGTTTTCTCCAAAAGTTTCTCAACTGACAATAAATGTTTTATACGATGTTGTAGTTTTCTCCAAAAGTTTCTCAACTGACAATAAATGTTTTATACGATGTTGTAGTTTTCTTCTTGCAAATCTACACAATGGGCTATCTTCACTCTGTCTCTTGAGGGGGATAGAACCCTGAACCTTACCGCTATCCCACTCTGTTTTAATATGAACGTGTGTGACAGTGAATTTCGATTTTTGGTTCTGGCTACTTACTATGTACATATTTATATTTTTTCCGGTTTTTCGTAAAATGTAACCGATCACTTGTTACACACATAAAGTAAAATAATATATAGTGTCGAATTGCATGTGTGACGGGCAGTCTTTTTTGGTTTTATAAGTCATATTCCTTTTTTACTTTTGTTTAACACAACTTTAAAACGATATGGCATCTCTAAGTATGTTTTAAACAACGACAAACGAATAACACATTTCTTCTAAAGCTAAATGGATCTGTGTTTCTTGTGAAAAATTAAAGATGACTCATAATTTAATTCAACAGCTCATCGTATCTGTTTGTGTAATATAAATAGCGCTCTTTTTCAGTAGTTTAATATAAAATATTTTAACCATTACACTATCATGAAGTGGAATTTTTAACCTGATCGTAGTCTTATGCGCACATTGACTGAATGGTCAAGTTAGAGACCTCTTTGGTTCAGGTATAGCCGTCCATAATTTTGAACTATTGATCAAAGAGAGAGAGTAGCCAGCCAGCTGCAACCTCAACTCCCGTCACAGGGGCTTTGTTTGGGCCTTTTTAGCCGAATAACGAGATTGAGTGTTACTTTTATAACGCGCTCACGGCTGAAAGTGCCGAGCGTGTTCAGCAGCACCATGTCTCAAACCTTGGAACCTTCGATCTTCAGCCCGGAAACCTGACAACTAAGGCTCGTTCGACCCACGCTAATATGAAAACCACTATTCACCAGAAAACTATTTTATTGTGCGGATGTGGTCAATATACACAACACATTTTTTTCAAATTATAGTCATTATTACACCATCGTGCGTATTTACAACAAATTTAGATAACAATTGTTACAATGGATATAACTGAATTTGAGCGGTGCAGCATCTAGTATCTTAAAGATGTAGAGTTAAAACTACAAATGAATTTCGGTGAACTAAACGAAAGAACTATAACTGATACCAGATTACTGAAATCAGATGTCAGTAATTCTGCAGATCACAAAAAAAAACATCTGGAAAAAAGGAGATCATTTTTGGTATTTTTGTAAGAATGTAAATTTAAAAACAAATATTAACCTCATCAGTTTATTATCCTTTATATATAATATTTAATAAGATGAAACTTAACGATGATAATAATAAAATTATATATTAATGAATTTATCAACATAATATGATGTAGATACCACTAATCCAAAAACTTCCTTGACTCGTTTCAAAGCACAAACTGTGAATAATAAATGTTAGTAAGTTAAAATGATCACTTGCAGGTGTATTAAGATATTGATTTATTTTGTAAGGAATGATTATACCATAATACTAAAAGAAAATAAGATTAAAAAATTCTGTCCTCGAGTAACGTCCTGTTTCTTGAACTTCAATAAGTGCATTTATTTCAAAACTTAGGATGAGATTCATTTCTGACTTTATGTCAAGAAAGCTTTAATTCTTTTCAATAAACGAGATTGTTTATTTATCTTTTAAAACTCACCTCTAATGAATTTACAACAAATTTTAGTTGTTGAAAGAGGTTTTACCGATAAAATATCAAGATAAAGGTGAATTATTCATTTCCCTACGTTCTACCTGATGATATTATTGATAAAATTAAATTAAAACTCTTATACTATATAAATTTCTATCTTTAAGCTCCACTGGTAAAGTCAGTGTATTTTCTCTTATCTTAAAAGAAGTTATTTTACTAAATCGAATTGAATTATTATTTTAATTGGATTTTAAAAGATTTAAATCCATATCTACTCATAGTTGTAGCAAATATTAAAAAGTCATATCAAGATGATTTGATTGCACCTTTGACTTAACTAAATGCCCCCCAGTGGCACAGAGGTATGTCTGCAGACGTACAACGCTACAAACCTGGTTTCGATACCCGTGGTGGGCAGAGCACAGGATAGCCCATTGTGTAGCTTTGTGCTTAATTGCAAACAAACAAAACTAAATAAATCTGTATTATAGAAGGTCCGAACTTTGATTAAAAAAAAACTGAAATATATTGATGTTAAACCTAATTTATATTCGAAAATTATTATGAATTCTTCGAAATAATATTTTGAAAAGTATGTAAATAATTTGTACAGGAGAATTAATGATCCCTGTCACATTTTTGAAGATTTGATATAGCAATAAGTCTTAGGATATATATTTTACAGCTTGTATTTTCTATTGATTTTTTTGAAATATCAAAATGTATCAACTTAAAATTTAAGACTAATATATTAGTATTAAGTGTATAAATGAGTTATTTGAATGGTGATTCCTAAGCGCCATTAAACACTGTGCTATTTGTGAAATTTAACTAATAAAAAGTATTTTACTTTGAATTAGATATATAACATACGTAATGAAATAAGTTACTTTTATAACATTTCCCTTTGATTAGTTACACAAATTGCCATAGAAAACATAAAACAAACAAACAAACAAGAACTGTTCCAAATGTCTCGAGTATGTTATAATGTGTTGGTTCAGACGAAACTATTGACGAAAAAGAAACCCTTCTCAAAAGCAGTCGAATACTTGTATATATATATACACCCATAGTAACTTTCTGTGTTGTGCTATTCTTCATAAGAAGGAATATTAAAAAAAACCAACACTGAATCACTTTCATAGATTTAAACACACACATACATCATATAAACAATTTGAGTACATTTCAACGAAGAAGTTCGTAACTGTTAAGTGAAATAGGTGTAGCTCTTGAAATGTTACGTGGTCTTTTGTTTGTTTCGGTTACTTACGCAAAGTTAATTAACTTAGTAACATTAGAAACATATGGGCAAGAGGCAAGGCAGCTAGCCAACAGCACCCAAATTTTGAGCTACTCTAATTGAATAGTTAGTTTTAACCGTCACTCTTACCATGTACCTACGGCCCCCTAGTGGGGAGTTCGAGTTTGTGATAACGGGATGCGAACTTGGACTCTCGGATCCACAGACTCCAACAGGCCCCATTTAAGGTCTAAAACATTTCTTTATACTATTTTTGTCTTCTTAAAAGCCGAATAACTGACCATTTTACAACTTCTAAAATAATAAAACTAAACAAACATAGTTGAGAAACATTTTGTGTACGTGTTAAATAGTTGTTTATGATGAAACTTGCATAAATTGTCATCTCAAATTTTGACTTAAAAATAAAACATGTGTAAGAAATGTAAATATATATATAACAAAATCCAACAACAACAACAGATTTTTTTCCTAAACATAAAACTCATAAATTTGACTCAGAAATGTAGCCATAACTTAATACCCTGAAACACTGTTGCTGTTGTTTAAATCGTGAACTTTGACTCTCTTATGCAGAAATGTTTTTTTAATTATTGATGTTTTAGTCGCGCTTCTAAAAAGCCTGAGTAACGATGCAGGCCGTGAGAGGGTGGGTGAGAACAGCTAAGTTATAACTTCAAGTTTATAGTTTTAAAACTAAAATAAGTTGCTGGAATACTACGACAAGTATATATGACTAGAATATGTGTCTTGGATCTCTAGATCTTACTGAAGTTGAAAGTCACCAAACAAACTGATGTCAAAGCTACACCTAAGGTTGCTTGATTTCAGAGTTAGGCTTAACACTATCCATTTCATATTCGGAACTTAGAGCGGGAAATACATCTATTACACGGATAAAATAACAGTGAAATTAATTACTATAATTTTTAACATTTCTTCAGCTCCACTTTGGATATACATGAAAGACCAATGATATTGTATTCCTTGATAATCGTAGGGAGTGGGCATTATAAATAATATCATCAAAGGACAAACTGAAAGTATCTAATTTCACTCTAACAAGCGTTGTAAAGTGTACCAGGGCAGTTCTGGTTCCTCTAAATTTGAAATACATATCGAAGTTTCATGAAACGAAGTCCTGGATAAAATCACTAACGCTTGTTACGAGTTTTGAACAAACTGGATTTGGAGGTAATATTTACACCTTAAATCTTGCGAAGAAACATAGAAGTGGGTAAGATTTAATCACCAGCTGCTGTCCAAGACTAGCGTGAAGTAATTTTTCTGTTAAATGTCATTCACAAAAGGTTTTAGAAATGTCAATATTGTTGAGAGGAAGAGATACCTGCTCCACCTCCTTCCATTTCATCCAGCCAGGACGCTGGGCTTGGTGGAAATTCTTGATAGGTATGCCCATTGAGGTCAGAAGAACACACCATTCTGGTAGGTGGTAAAATTGGCGGAATATGTCCGTTTTGTCCCTCGACAATGGGGTGTGGCCTTGGACCAGGTAGTATTCCTAGCCCCTCTCCTCCATAGCTAAATGTTCCTTGATGAGGATAAGGAAGAGGGATAGATGTGGTGGGGCTGTGACTACTCGAAATGTAAGGTGGTGTGCCTGGACCAGGGAAAGGGTGGCCCCCTGGGTACAAAAGTCCATTTGGGCCTAGGGCTGGAGATGGGCCAAGGGAACGTTCTTGGTCAACAAGTAGTGAACTGCCCAGTGGAGGTCCAAAAGACTCTGTCGGTCTTAAGTCTAGCTCGTCTGCGAAAAAACAAAAAAAATATTATAACAATTTTACAGAGCACAAATAAATTAAATTATGTTTTTATATATTACAAAAATTCAGTCACTTTTTAAAAGTAAAATCACTAATAAATATATACTTTATCTACCACTTTACTTTCGGTTACACAGAACCTCGTCAAAAATTATGCTAGTTTTTACTATTACATGGCGATATCAAGAACTTAAATTATCTTAGTTACCAAATGTTCTATTTGCAATCCAAACTCAATTGAAGTACATTTAAAATTAAGAAGCCACGCGAATGCAATATGATTTCTCACTCGATCTCAAGATGGCACTTTTGCACCTTAACACGCTCACTCCAGGTAAGTAAAGAAACTGATACTCTCTGGCTTTAAACGCATTTTATATGAAATATCAGAAAAGTAATAATTTACATAGTGAAAGTAATATCGAAATTGTCATATCGTGTGATATAAAGCGAAAGAAGTATATTTTTTTCTTGGTTTTAAATGCAGTACACAAGTTATAAGATACGTTAATTCAAAGTCCGTAAGGATGTTGTTGGTTTTTTAGTGCAAATGTATTTGATTCCCACTGTCCACCACGGGGGAATAAAACCCCAGATTTTAATATTGAAAGTCCTTAAACTTACCGATGACTCATCAGGAGGCTCTATAAGGCACCGTTTTCTGGCACAGTATTGAAAAGTATACTCGTGAAAGAGTATTAATTACATTACTATACCTATAAGTAGAAGGTGTATAATTCAACCAAAGAAAGTCCAGAAATTTACAATCTGTTTCCATTTCTATTTTCTTTTCTTCTTCTTGTACGTCGTGAAGAATATGTCTTTGTTTCTCTGAAGTAATTTGATACTGACATAAATCTTTCGAAATACACGACACACAATGGAAGACGAAATTAAAATGAAAGTAACAAATGCATATTTGAAGAACGTCTACACATAAAATCATTGAAATATTGATAGACGTAACGAACTTGGATCCACGTGCTTGATTATTTGTGAATCAGCCATTTGCCCTGTTCGTACCGCAATACCAGAAAGTTAGTGCTCTCACTAGCCTCTACCGGAATTTAAATGCGTAAAAGTTATTATAATTCTTATAACACTTACATATGCATAGAATAATGCATAATATATAGTTCATTAGGTTGAACGATCGTTTTCAAATGTATTTATTAGCATGTGTGCACGTGTTCAAAATTGGGTACTTATTGGCAACGGGAACTGTTAATGGAATTTTTAATCACAATACAATAGGGATTCAAAACACGATAGTTCTCTGTGTTCCTGCCTCAGGAAAACCTTATCACAATGTAAAACACGTAAAAGACGTATTCACTTAGAGAATAGGTAATGAACTTATTGGCCTTCTTGCAAATGAATATTTCCACTGAAACCTTAATCAGATTTTTGTTTATTCGTTGGGAGTCAAAAGGCGCTCGTGATATTCATCCATGCCTTACTTGATTAAAGAATGTTAATCTTAGGGGGTTCTTCAAACATTGTATGCAAAAAAGAGAAACGAAATATAGCGTGCGAAGCCACTTATTATGGAAAAATATGAAACATCTCTCGTAAAATAAACAAAATAAATTATCACACGCAATAATTTGATCAAATTACACGGATGTTAAGACTGAAAATCTTTTCAGAAAATAAAGGCGTCGTTAAAAAGTTCTCCGGGCCTTTTCTAAGATTCAAATTTTGGTGTTAGTTAACGTTGCAACTACTGCATGTTTATTAACAGGGGAAACTTAACACGTTTGAGCTCTATACAAATACCTGATACGCATTGTTAACTCAACAATTTAATGGGATGGCGAGCAACTGAAATATTGTTAATCTTGTTATAAATCATTGTTGTATGTGATAGCATCCATCACCCACAGTTGGCTGGTTCGATTACCGCAATTTTTTGTATGGTAACTGGAAAATGTTCGATGATGTACACTGGTTATTTTGTTTCAGGATACTACATAAGGAGGGTTAATAAATACCACGAAATAGAGCACATTTCCACCTTTTTTTTTCATAGATTTTTAGCTTTTAATTTTAAAGTCACAGGTACTTAGTCAGTTAAACGATTCGATTATTGCTTTCTCAAAGTAGTGTATGCAATTAGCATGTAATGAGGCAAATGGAGATTTAGTAGCAAAAGAAAAAATGAAGGGGAACATTATCTAACAGTTTTTGCTTCCTCAACGAGTACCTTCAGCTAACTTTATTAAATAATTAGGTACTTAAGTATACCAAAAGAGCCTTTATATCAATTGCTTTTGAGTACCCTAGAGATTTTCGTAACAAATGGAGACAAAGTATTTTCCAATGGATTAAATACGAAATCATTATTTGTAGGTAAACCTTATTTTTTAATTATTATACTGGATCAAATTATACCTCTATACAGGGAATCCTTGTCCAAATCTGCTTTAGAATCATTTTCTCTGTCTCCTCTGTTTTGTTCCATGTTATCAGGGGAACCAGGGGACGCTGTACTTGGAGTCGAAACTGTCGAAAGACTCTGCTTCAGACTTCCGCTTCCATTTCGGAAATATTCCCCCCAGCGGCTCTTCCCAGCATCCTTTTTGAGTCGTTTTTCTTTGGCTCTCCGATTTTGGAACCAAACTTGAACTACTCTCATGTCAAGGCCTGTGTCCTGACTCAGCTGTTCTCGCACGTGACGGGCAGGTTTGGAGCTGTTGTTGTAGGCCGTTTTTAACATTTCCAGCTGCTTGGCCGAAATGGTGGTCCTCGGACGCTTGCTTGTTCCATCTGCTCTACAACAACCGGCAAGAAATTTACACTTTTTTTTATTCTTCGGGCAGTTAAATTCAGCAATAAAAACAAATTTGTTAAATCAAATTCCAACAAAACACAATATTATATATAAGTACCATTCGCTCAAAGAACAGTGAGCCACCTCGAATAAAAATGGACAATTTTACAAGATTCTTGGGCTAAAAAGTTTTATAATGATTCTTTTCTACGAAAGAATGAACAAAATTTTTACAATCGTTCCTTAATTTGAGGTTATTCATTTACAAATGAAATAAAAGATGTCCATTTCGGTGATCAAATATTATTATTAATTTTTTAGTGTAAGTCGTTTGGTTTGAATTTCGCGCAAAGTTACTCGAGGACTATCTGCGCTAGCTGTCCCTAATTTAGTAGTGATAGACCAGAGGGAAGACAGCTAGTCAAATCCACCCACCGCCAACTTCTAGGCTACTCTTTTTGCAAACGAATAGTAGGATTTACCGTCATATTATAACGCCCCCACTACTGAAAGGGCGATCATGTTCGGTGACAAGGATTCGAACCCGCGATCCTCATATTGTGAGTCGAGCTCTCTAACCACCAGTGTAAATGAGAGCAACATGAACAACCAGGAAATACAAATGTTTATGGTATCGAATAAAGTTGCGTCTAAAATTGTTTCAGTTAAATTCAAAGATGTTGTTTTAGTGCCATAATCAGTGAAGGAGCTGAAAGTTTTTATCAATACGTTTTTTTAAGAAAATCAATTTAGTTATAAACTAAAACATAATGATTTTTTTTTCCGTCAACTGGAAGATGGCGTTAATAGATATTTGTAGTAGTAATTAAAAATAAC